TTTTGTCTGTTGTATTTTTTTTTCGAGGACAGTATTTATTATTCAGATAAAAGTTGGACAGCATCTCCAAATGTAAGATTCAAATTCAAACACAAGTTTAAGCAGAAAGTGATGCTGTATATCGTCATATCGGAGAGAGGAATTTCTAAGCCAAGAGGTTCAAGCCTAGCGGTTTGGCTATCAACCAAGCAGTGTACCAAAATCAATGTTTGAAGAAAACTACGTGTTTTGGCCGGATAAAGCATCATCTCATTATGCTAAGAATAACCTTCTTGGAAAATCAAAATATCCCGTATGTACCAAAAAAACCGCAATCCAACAAACTTGCCTCAGTGTCGCCCAATTAATGATTTTTTTTGAAATATGAGTTCGTTGGTGTACAAAAGCAATTGGAGGACCAATAATTGTAATCAGCTTATAACTGAATCGAAAGTTGCATTCATAAAATCGATTTAAATGCTGTACAACGCCCATGTTCTCACATCACGACAAAGCTACGTCAATAAGCTGATAACGGACAAATGTCATTGATTTTTTTTTTGTAGAAACGAATCGTAGAATAATTTGAAATAAATCACTATTTCTTTTTCCAAACATATGTTTTTTCGTATCACCCGTTACTACATGGCATTTCAAGCTTATTGCTTTTAGTATATTATCTGTTTGCTTGCTCTCAAATTAGTGTTTTTGAAGGGCTTCCACATTTTAATTGAGAGCTTCCCTAATAAAAATAACCATAAAAGAGAGCTTAACGACGTGTTCGGGGTATCATCCAAACCATTTGTGGGATAGTTTACCCATCCGGGATACAGTTCGTTTATGGTATTTATTCATTAGGGTTTCTATGCCTGTTTAATCCTATTCCCAAGAAAGTCAAGAAATTTTCCTTCCCGAAAATTTAATAGAACGTATGGGAATCGAGCCCAGCTTCCTCCAGCATAGACTTGCTTCGTAGCAGCACCTTTACCGACTCAGCTTATGGAGTATCGTTTGTACCCTTTGACAAAAAAAATAACAATATATAATCTTCAGTTATTCATGTTCTTGGTAGTACAAATGCTGACTATTTAATAAACATAATTAAACACATTACACACAGATTCTAATGAATTAAAGCGGAATAGGTATTCTGGAACATCACTTTAAAACATTATGCTTTTTCATTTGAAATGCAAAATAACTTGAAAATGAATAACATCCAAATCCCAACAAAAAATAGGGTGCAGAGCACTGAGGAGTATTCCAATGTAATAAATTTCAGTGAAATTTTTTTTAGAAAATTTAAAAGAAATTTACAAGGAAAATATGAGGAGCAGTTCAAAAAACTAATGGGAATTCTGAACCGGGGACGAGACCTACTGCGGTGAGAGGTAATCACGCTTACCACTACACCACCGGCGCTCCTAAAATGAACAATTTCGTATCATAAAAATGATTTTTGTGAAAAATTGGTGTTAATTACCTACATTTAGGCGCATTTTTAACTATTTTGCACAACATATGCAGTTTAGCGTAACCCACATTTTTTTAAATTTTAAACACCAGATTCTTCTACAGCGAACACAATTCAAGTATAAACGCTAACTTCTGAATATTCCATTGCATAAAAACCTACATAACCAACTTCACATCAAAATTCAAACATTGCATTTTAAATTAATTTTAAAACTTAGCCGAACATACAATTTAAAAACTAAATTTGCACATTAGAGAAGCATTTGCTAATACAGATTTCAGCGGTATTTAATTGTGTGCCAAACATATGGTTGGAAAAATATTCAGGTTTACCGGTAAAAAGTGATCAACTTCCCCCCGTTTTCCCGGAATTTTCCCGGATTTCCCGATTCGCTGGCTAAATATTTGTTTCCCACTTAAATCTAAGACGATCACGTTTTTGAGCGAGTAATATGGTGTAATTTTCAAGATCAAAGATTTAAAAAAAAAAAGCGTGGCTGTACATTCATGTGTACATACTTTCAATGATAATGCCTAATGAGTTTTGAGAAGAATTGTACACATAATTGAGGGGGTTAGAAGGAAAGGGATGTAAGAGACTTTGAGCGATTCTCTTCTTCGGCTTTCTCTTTCGTTAATAATTAAGCTGTTCCTTGCATGCTAGATGAGAACCTCCTTTATCAAACAAATAGCGCAAAATCTGTTTATAAAGCTGTGGCTATCAAAAAAAAGTCGATGAAGAGAATCGATCAAAGTTACTTACACCCCTTTCGTTCTAACCCCCTCAATTCTAAATGAGTAAAATTCCAAAGCAATTCGACTAGAAGTTATAGGTAATTTAGAGAAGCATTTCAAGGAAATTGTAAAGAGATCTAAAGGTGAAATCCTAGGAAGTTCTGAAGAGACTATTATGGGGATTGTGAGGAGAATTCCAGTGAGTTTTGTAAAAAAGTTCCCAGAAAAATCCAAGGGAATCGAATTCTCAGAATAGCTCCAAGGGAATTCTATGGAGAGTTTTAAAGAATTCTTAGGAATATCCAAGACATTATCTCAAAAACACGTTAAGAAGAATTTCAATGGAATTTTGAGAAAAAGTCATATGGAATTATGTAGTGAGTTGTGGACAATATTTTGGGCATCGTCATGGGTGAATTCCAGACGACCTGCGAGGCTGGTGACGTGCAGCCATGGATCGAGTATAATGGATACGGCGTTAGCCTGACTGGTATGGTATGTATGGGTGAATCCCAAGAGTAGGATAATTCCTAGATGATTGTGTTAAGAATTTCAAGAAAATTCTAGGGAACTCTGAGTTGAATTCCATGTTATCTAAATTCTAAAGGGCGTACCACGAGATTTCTGAAGAATATTCCATGGTAATTAAAAAAATATAATACACGGCGAATGAGAACGACTCAAATTTGAGTCGCCAAAAGTGCAGGAACTCAGCGATGAGTTAATTTGCCTCATGTTTTCCCAGGTTTTTCCAGGATTTTCTAGGGAAAAATTCGCGAATTTGAGAAAAGTAGAGATTGGATTCACTCAGTCTATTGGTACTACTCCTAGACTGAATAAAATTTTCGTCAATTTCCTCATTTTCCGGCAGATTTTTTAGGTTTTCCACAGGAAACCATGGGACAAATTTTACTCATCGCTGAGTTCCTGCACTTTTGGCGATTATGAGTGAACTAAACTCAAATTTGGGTTGTTCTCATTCGCCGTGTATAAAGATACAAAGGTAAATGCAATATGAATTTCTAGAGTTTCTTGATGGAATTTCTAGAATGTTTTTGTGGGGCCTCCTTTAGCTCAGTCGGTAAAGACGCAGCTCAAAGCAAGACCATCCTGGAGGTGGCTGGGTTTGATTCTCGGTCCGGTCTAGGAATTTTCGGGTTGGAAAATTTCACGACTTTCCTTCACGGCATAAAATATGATTGTACTTGCTACACAATTATACTAATGCAAAAATGGTAAAGGCCTCGAAAGCTCTCAACTAATAACTGTGGAATTGCATCTAGAACACTAAGTTGTGACCACGCCAAAGCTAAAATACGAAGAAGAACAAGAATACAGAATTTCGAGACTAATTTTAACGGTATACTGATGGAGAGTCACCTCACCCGAGGTGTCTATTGTCACTCCACCATCACTTCACTGTAACCTCACCTCACACGCCGCGCAGAATAGGCCCAACTCTAAAGTCATTTTTAGATGATTCTAAGGAAATCTCTAAGAAAGTTCAAAAGAAATAATTTAGTTAATCCAGACATTGAACATTTTTCATAGAAATTCAAGATCCAGGGTTAAGGAAATTGTTTCAAGATTCTAAGATTTCGACGTAACAACAAACATGTCTGAGGCTTGGAGTTTGTATAGCAATTCCACTAGCATCATTTAGAAAAATGGACTTGGACTTGACACATTTATAAATAGGCTATTCTGCGCGGCCTGTGAGGTGCGATGACTCGCTGTCACTAGTGCAATGAAAATTGTCACCTCGGGTGTGGTGACTCTCCATTTGATTTGCATGGAGACTCACCTCACCCGAGGTGACAATTGTCACTTCACCATCACTTCACTGTCACCTCACTTCACACGCCGCGCAGAATAGGCCTAAAGACTCTGGGACATTCCCCTTATTCTGCGAGTCACGTGACTCTCTGTCACCGGTGAGGTGACAATTGTCACCTCGTGTGAGGTGACCCTCCATGTAAATCAAATGGAGAGTCACCTCACACGAGGTGACTATTGTCACCTCACCGGTGAGAGAGAGTCACGTGACTCGCAGAATAAGGGGGATTGCTAATTTGTGTAGACCGCAAATATTAGGTATCTCGTAAGTAAAGAATTCCGATCTTGTAGAAATATTTGTCAGTCACAAAGCATGGATCAGAATGAGTGCGTAGTGAAGCAGCGTAAACACATCGTCTTTTTGTTGATTTCAAAGTAGCGTAAGCAAAGCTTAATTTTCACTGAATTGTATTAGATTGCGTATGAAATTTCGGCTTTATGCGGAACCTTAGACGAATAGAAGCAGCGTCTTAGGAGAATTGTTGTGCATATGATCCTTGTCGTTGCACAAGATGATTGTTTTTGTACTAATAATATAAATAAAAGTAAGTATATAAGACTGGATATTTGGCTGGTAATAATCATTTGGCATGGATTAATTTTGGAATTTATCAATATAAACACAGCAGACTGTAAAAATCCTTGCTCGAATAAACAAACTTTTTTTTCACACATCATGCATTCACTCGCATCGGAAAAACATTTCGCGCTTACGATCTCGGTTTACTGTAGTAAAATTCCATTTTCGTGATGTTTGGCTTTGTTTCACGTAAATAATGCCTTAAATTATGATTCTTTTACAGCTGGCAGCTCAAAAGTTTCGAAATACCACCAACAATGCTTCGGAACGGATACACCCGCTGGCGGCAGGAAGCATGCATCCGTGATGTGGTGTTTGCGTTTATCGCACTTATGTTTCTGCTTTGCTGGTGGCTTTGATTGCCGGATTAGGTTGATCTAAAATCGGTACTTACTTGTCCCGCTTGAACTGGTTGTTGGCTTCGAAGAAACACACCGCATCGTCGGTGTGGCACTGATCGATCGAGGGCACACGGTGGAATTTCTGGTGGTACCATGGGTAGGTTTTGCGGTTCGGTTCGACGACGGATTCTGGAGGTTTATAAAATAAATAAATTTATTAGTATGGTCGCATTATTTCATTTCTGTCTATTTGATGTATTTGTAATTTCATGCACCAAGGTTTAAATATTGATTGTAATGTAATATAATTGGTAAATAAATGACACTAGTTTTTTGCAGGAAAATTCTATTAAAAAACGTTGGGTTGGGGACTATTGTTTGCATTGAAATGAGACAATTTTTATTTTACTTCTACACAGCAGAGTATGTAATAAACAATCGAAACTATATTTTATTCACATTGCATTTAATCGCAGCTATCTAACCAGAAATCATCACATTTGCGATTTATAAGTAGCAAGTCAATCGCCACATCAGTTCCATTCTCCGTTTTGCCCCATGCTCTCGCATTTGTTTTGATTGCAAAGCCGACGAAGCTGATGGACATGCAAAAAGGTTATGAGAAATTATGTAACAAAACAAACTGAACGGTGTTATTTAGCCCGAATCCTTGATAAAAACCAATTTATCCTGCACAAGTACAATACTTAAGAGTAATACTAATTTTAATTGTAAATGAATAAATAAAATAATCTCCACAACTTGGGATATAATTGAAAACTCACCTCGGAACCAAGTAACCGGACCATCGATCAGAGAACCAACGGCGTTGGTAAAGCTCTCCAAAGGATTGCGTGCTGGTGCTTCCGGCATGGTCTGTTGGGAGATTTTAATAGATTAAACGTGAAGCATAGCGATTTACTTTACAAAATGCGGAAAATACCTATTTTCGTGATTTTCTCCGAGAAAAACTGCACCCAACTTGAAAGATGCCTTGAAAAACGAAACAACTGACAGCTGATGGATGAAAGTGAAGTTCCTCGAGAATGTTCGGGTGTGAATACACTTGACTGTGCTAGTACTTCGTGTAAATTGTGAAATATTTCATAAACAAGGCTACACGGTAGCACGCAACATCTCAACATTGAGTCGAATATCACGCTTACTTGAACTAACTCACCGGGTGAGTCTTTTTTTTTCTTTTCTTTTAGCGAATTCGTTTATTATCAATATTACCAGTTCCAACCCAGTGCGAATCCGAACTTTTTGTCAGTGCGAACCTCAACCTGCGCTAGGTTTTAAAAACAAACGAGCAAACTGACGTTTGTCAGAAAACAAGCAGACCCAATCCTGATACCCGATCCAGGTTGGAACTGAATAATAAACGAATTCGCTATTTATTTAACGTCGGTCTCTGTTCCGCAATCTAGTGCCAATCACCGACGGACATCGATTGCCATCCATTGACGGCAATCGAATGTGCAGGAAGGCAGCTTCCACACCTGCGTAGGATATCGCACCCATTCAAACACACATGGGCCGGGACCAACGGCTTTACTTCCCTTCCGAAGGAAGACGTGACCAGAGATTTTTATGCCTCAGAAAAATCCCACCGACCTCGGCTGGAATTGAACCCAGACCCATTGGGGTGAGAAAACAGTCACGCTTACCACTACACCACCGGCGCCGGCTTGATCCGGGTGAGTCGATCGTACTCAATTTTGTCAGGTTGTCAAAATCTGAGTATACGAGAAATGTCAAACTGAGTAAAAGTCAGTCAGCCAAATCCGGGACTTAGAGAAAATTGACAGCCGTATGGGGGAAAAAAGCTCTAAGAATCGGTGAAATTATTGTATAACACCGGCCGAAATGAATTAAGGTAAGTAGGAACTGCATGTGGAGACGATTTTCGGTCGTCTTCAGCTCCAGTTAAATGAATCTACAAAAATTGAGTTCGTATTGATGGGAAGCATCATTCTATTTAAAATTATCCTTTCAACAAGTTTACTTATTGAAGAAAGCAAACGCATTGGACGGTAGCTAGAAGTTTCAGCTGGATTTTTATCCGGCTTCAAAATTGGAACAACTTTTCCATTTTTCCATTTATCGGGAAAGTATGCCAGTATGATGAGAATATAGAAAATTCCATCATCACCTGGAGCTTTCATATTATGAAACTTTTTAGTTATAGATCTTACTTCGTCTAAATCTGTCCCCCAGGAATCATCAAAAATGTTTTCCCGAGAGAAAATATTCAGATAATCCCGAGCAACCTGATTCTCAATAGGACTAGTAAGACCAAAACTGAAATAATGGGAACTCTCGAATTGCTTATCAAGTTGCTGAGCTTTTTTCAAATTTGTTATCAAAATTTTACCACCTTTTATAAGCCTTTATAGGCTTTTGAGGTTTTTTTTCAAAATTTTTGTGAGTTCCCAAAAGGGTTTGGAACTCGGGTCTAATTTAGAAACATTATTTTTAAAAGGTTTGATGCTCAGGACAGAGAATCGCTTTTTAATTTGTTTTTGCTAATCCCACCAGATAACTTTCATGACAGGATCGCGTGTTCTTTGATATTGCCTCCTACGAACATTTTTAAGACGGATCAAGAGCTGAAGATCGTCGTCTATTATAATTGAATCGAATTTAACGTCGCATTTTGGTACTGCTCTTGCTTCAACTATAGAAATAGTCAGAGATTCTAGAGCATAATTAACATCATCTTTGGTTTGCAAAGGGATGTTTAGATCAAAGCTATATTCCATAAATGTTCGATATAGCTCCCAATCAGCTCTATGGTAATTTCAAGTAGAGCTGTTGGGATTAGAAAATATTTCTTGGTATATTTTAAAAGTTACTGGAAGGTGATCAGAACCTTATACCCCGGACAGACTATGGCTTATATCATGTAATATAGGCTGCCTTGCAATGAGCACTCATACATCTAGTTTTCACTGGAAATCCTATGTATGAGTGCTCATTGCAAGACAGCCTATATTGCATGATATAAGCCATAGTCTGTCCGGGGTGTATAAGTCAGCATGGGTAACCAATTGGCTACAAAGTTGACATGAATCAGTTAAGACCAAATCAATAGTTGAGGGATTTCTTGCTGAAGAAAAGCATGTTGGGCTGTTTGGATATTGGGTAGTGTAATAACCTGCAGAACAATCATCAAAGAGAATATTACCATTGGAATTGCTTTGAGCATTATTCCATGAGCGATATTTTGCATCAAAATCACCAATATTGAAGAATTTAGACCTATGACGGGTAAGTTTCTGGAGGTCACCCTTGAGAAAATTCTCTAGCTGGTCTACGCATTGGAATGGCAAATAGGCAGCTGTAAACGTAAGTTGTAGAAATTTTATGGTTGATTCGTCTATGATCAATAATGGCAACGCCACCACAGGGTCCATCAATCCATTTCGATAAATGAAATAATTTGCGTCCCTTTTAACCTTATAATCAGGTTTAAGGAACATTTTTGTAATAACGATAATATGCACGTTTTGATCTCTTAAAAAGTTAAATAGCTCGTCTTCATTATCTACATTATATTTACCAAAAATTGGATTTGTGGTTTTCACCATAATTTGACCATTTAAATTTCTTATGATCTTCCTTCACAGGACAGTCGTCCTTTGCGTGAGAGGAATCACCACAATTCATGCATTTAGCTGGCATGTAGATATATTTTGTTCCGTGACCCCATCCCTGGCATTTACGGCACTGGGTGAGGTTTTGGAAATCTCCTCCAATCTTCCTAAAGTGTTCCCACTTCACTCGGACATGGAGCATAAGGCTAGCTTTTCTAAGGCCTTAAGGGGGGAAATACAAGTAACACGTCAAAAACTCGACGATTTTCGAATTTTTTTTGTGAGCAAATGAAACAACGCAAACGTTTGGAGTTTTTTGTATTAAATTGCATAAATCTTCCTCTAGACCTGAAAAATCGGCAAAACTTACTTTTATCAATTGAACCTTATTAAGAAAATATTTTTGTTCAATGTGTACCTCTGAAACCCAAAAAAAGAAAAACAATTTAAAAATTTAGAAAAAAATATCTGAAAAAAAAAAAGTTGATTTTTCACTGTTTTTTCCACTTTAGGCAGACCTGAAAATTATTTATTGCTAATTGATATCAGTGGTTCACATAGAGTAAAAATCTATTTCCTTTAAGATGCGCCAGGTTTCAAGTCATTTGGATGAGAACTTTTTGAGTTATCTTTCCCGCCAATTTGGAAAACACCGTTTCGAGACAACCGCATTTAAAGTTTTGGGTTGTGTAAAAACATGATTTCTGGAACTTACGGTTAATCGGCGATACCGGGGCCATAGATCACTCCTTCCTCGTGCTCGTAAAATATAAAAAATCGATAATTTTTTTTTTATTTGTATTTCCCCCCTTAAGGGTGTTTAGTTCACTAGACTTGAAGTGAACTAAATAAAAATCATTAGAAATCCGTTGCGCGAATCGCCAGGACAGGATTTCATTTTCGTTGTGATTACTCGGACTGGCACAACTCCAAGTAATTTTGCCAGTTCATCTTTGATCTGCTCCAGGGATTCACCACTGGGCAGTTCTTTCATGACAACCTTGAACGCACGTTTAGTTTTGGTATCGTAAGTAAAAAAATAAGATACTTGAGAAGACATTTGAATTCGTCCAAGGTTTCAGTCAATAAACGGCATTCACCCCGACGACCAATTTGCAGTGAAAACTTGGCATTAAGCCGGGAAAGTTTACTAGAATTTTTCCTGGATGGTGGATCATTCTCATCATACCTGAGCAAATCAAATTGATTGCTCAAATTAATTTCATCAGAAGGGGGATCAAGAGATTGCCTCTTTCTTTTGCGCTTAGGCGCAGTAAAACCATAGAGGTAACTCTAAGACCACTGGGTCCCGAAGAAAATCATTATTATTTTTGGCTCACTCAGTACCAGAACAACGGTCCCAAGCAGTCCCAAGCTATTTCACTCACCCCTGCATGTTCTGCATGAATCCACACACCCCTGATGTTATCTGTCAAACTTTCATAGCGAATCAAAACAAACATAGTGTAGTAATAGAATTTCAACTAGAATAGGGTACGTTAATCGTTTGCTTGGGACCAATAGGCTACTAAAGTGGTGAGCCAATTTAAAATCGTTAGTTTCGTATTGATTGTTGGTAAAACGTTTATCCAAATCGACTTCCAAGCAGATTACTAAAGGGCGAACACGAAATTATTGCGACACATTCAACAGGGCATAACTTTTTTACCATTAGGTAAAAATCAACCAAATTTAGCACACTTTCTCATTGATGTGTATTGTGTACATGCTGTCAAACTTGAAGTCGTGTTTTTCGATTCAACGAAAATGGAGGTGAACCAACGCGAGTTGAGAGAACAAATTCTTTCCAAACACCTGGAATTTCCTGACCTGTCGCACCGGCAGTTGGGAAAAATGTTGAACATTCACCATTCAACCGTCTCCAGAGTGTTGAAGCGGTTCCAGGAGCGGTTGACGTTGGACCACGGCAAAGGAGCTGGAAGAAAACCGGGACCGGAGAACAAAAAGACGGAGGGAAAGGTGAAGCGGATGATTAAAGCAAATCCCAACGTCTCAAGCCGTGATTTGGCTAAAAAGATCGGCATGTCGCAGAGCTACGTCCAGAATGCAAAGAAGAGAGCTGGACTACATACATAAAAGGTACAGAACTTCCCAAACCGCGATGAGCGGCAACAATCGACGGCTAAAACTCGGGCACGGAAGCTCTACGAGAAGATGCTGACAAAATATGGCTGCTGTGTGATGGACGACGAAACGTATATAAAAGCCGATTTTAAGCAAATTCCGGGGTTGGAGTTTTTCACCGGCAAGAGCAAGTTCGATGTGGACGACAAATTTAAGAAGAAGAAAATGTCAAAGTTCGCCTCCAAATATCTCATTTGGCAGGCCATCTGCTCTTGCGGACTGAGGAGTGAGCCTTTCGTGACAAAGGGCACAGTAGATGGCGGGATCTACAAATCTGAGTGCCTCGAGAAGCGCCTTTTGCCGTTCTTGCAGCAGCACGACGAAGCTCCGCTATTTTGGCCAGATTTGGCATCATGCCACTATTCTAAATGTGTCCTGGAGTGGTATGAGGCCAATTCTGTCCATTTTGTTCCAAAGGACATGAATCCGCCAAACTGTCCGGAGCTGCGCCCGGTGGAGCAGTACTGGGCAATAGTGAAGCGGGAACTTCGGAAGAGCAAGAAGACAGTCAAAGACGAAAAGGACATGTTAAGAAAATGGAAAAAAAAAACTGAGAAACTGGTACCGGATGACACTGTAAAGACTTTGATGGAGGACATCAAGCGAAAATGCGTTCAATTTTACACTCAAGGCTCCATCGATTAACTTTTCTTTTGATTTTTGAAGTAAATATATGTATAAAACTACCCTAAAATTTTGGTTTGATTCTAAACATTATAAGAAAATTGGCATGACATTTTCGGTGTCGCAATAATTTCGTGTTCGCCCTTTATAAGAATCTGAAGGATCGAAGAGGAATTTTCCAAATCGATATCCAAGAAGGATTACCTCGGGTAGGGTCCAAACAAGGATCGAAGAGGAATAAGAGTCAAATTGAGCACTGAAAAGTGCTGTTTAAATTTGTTGTAGCTTTAGGTAGCAGTCAAACCGTCAAACTTCCTTCAGCAAACAGCAAATAGATCCGCACGGCAAGAGAGCACGATGCGGACTGAGGTAGCACTTGTGGTTCTTGCGATACAGTGCTATGTGACATAAGGTCAAAATTGTTAGTCTCTGGTAATGATATTTTAGGGGGTATTCGTAGTTTATGGACACCCAATGCAAAAGTTTCAATGTCTCGGGAACCTTCCCATATTGTCATTGGATTTCGGATAAGTGTTCAATAATTATAAATATCAATTCATATTTGTGTTTTTTATTATCTTGTTTAACTGTAATCAAGTAAAATATCATTGCATCGTGCTTTTAAAAAAGTGATTGAATTAGATTCAAACTGCATATGATCTTCTGTCGGCTGCTAGTAATAGTCATAGTAGTAGTAGAAGTAGTTGTAGCATTACAAATAGGATCATTTATTCAAATACATACAACAAAACATTTACATTAAAACAAAAGAAAAACAAACATCATCATGTTTCTATTCATACTTGTCACTTATTGCTATGTGATATCGTATAATGATTGACTTTGCAATTGCAGAGACAATTTTTACACCAATTGGTTATCATCTGTTACCATTACTCCTATAGCTTTATGAAACCTAATCTTCAAGTCGAAAAGCAACTATGTACCACCTAAATGAAATGGCTCAAGAAAAATGTGACAATTATTTTTGGAAGATGGTGTCAATTTCAATTCCACTCAAAATGGCTAACAGCTAATGTTGTATTTTCTGATACTTAAACGGTTTTGATTTTTGTTTTTCTCTTCTAAACCAATCTCTACTCCCTAGAAGATGGATGGTTGTTGATTCAGCCACCCAGTATCACAAACTTCCCGCACATGTTGGCCAGTGACAGCACGGCATGGCGCTGACAGGATTGACTGTCGTCGGGGGATACGCACGATTAGAAAGAATAGAATAAGTATTAACCTCTAATTCGACAAAACAGAATGACCTCTCACTCGAACGTGCACTCTTGCAAGGCGTCATAAGTACTCTGTCTTGCTTCTTGGGGTTGCCAGAGCTCACTATAAAGATGGATTTAGTAGCAGTCTTCGCACGTGGGCTTTATCATCGTTACGATGAATGCATTTTTGTTTCCCGTTTCCTCGAATCAGTGTGTTCTTTATAGGTGTGTTGCAAAGCTTTAACATTAATCTTACAAAGTAGGATAAACTTATAAAGTTTATATCGTGGATCAGCTTAACGTATAGAACTTGAATTATCCATTAGTAACAAAGAACCCCATCGATGGCGCAAAATCTACAGGTCCATGTCGAACTGCTCCTGATGCTCATCGAACTTGGGTACTGAGTTTGGCGGCTGCTGGGGTTGTGCCTTGGGCTTGCCAGTGACACCAGTCGGGCTGTTCCGCAGGATGTTGAGAGGTAGGTTGTTCAAGTTAGACGGTGGGGTGCGTGCCAGAGGGGAGTTTTTCAGATTCATCATGAAGGCACGTTCGTAGACGATGCGTGTACCTGAAAAAGCGAGAAGACGGAGCGTTGATTAGATTAGCGAACGTCAGATGAATGCTTGAAATTGAACTAAATCGAAGTGATAGGCGTTATCTGCTGAGGTCGTATAAAGCTTTACAATGGAATAATCGAGGCCACCGTAGATGATTCGTGCACAAACGTGCAGACTGAAGATTGCTTTGCCAGTTCTAGCCAGTCGCTTCTGGTTAAACGTGTTGACCTTGCGATAGGATGTTACTCTACGTCAATGGACGAGGTCTAGGAAATTTGCAAACTTCGCCATTACCATCAATCTATTTCAATGAAATATTTACAACAGCCCGTCGTGAAAGAACGAAGATGAAACCGAAAGCGGCCGATAAGATAAGGTGTGCCTACTGGACAAAATTTGAATTTGTGTTCGACTCAACGAATTCGCCACGTGATCAAATCAGACTTGAATCCACCACGCGGTCGTAGGAGGAAAACAGGAAAACCTCCATTATATGATTATGCACAAATTATCCGAAAAATGCGAAACTGTCGGAAAACGCTCTCCGTATTTGCGGTTCGAATGTGGCTAAATTTAATTTTGGTCGGGTGTTGCCTTTACATCATTGCCATTAAGTTGTTTGTAGTGTGTTTTTGAACGCTAATTAAACTGCCAAAGGCACCGAACAAGCAGCCGTCATCGCTACCGGGTGACGTGCGTCTATAACGAGATTCTGTTTACTTTCTTTGAATCGTAAGACAAACGGATTAACCGAGTCAAAGTGCAATGGAACCTTGTGCGATAATTTTAGCACCACGATCGGTGCCAAGTTTCGAAATGTCCTGCAACATTTTTCAACACGATTTTTTTTTCCATAAATTACTCTTCCCTTTTCCTAGTTACAAAAACAATCGATTTCTGTTTCAAGAACCTCTGAAGCCATAGAAATGCTTTCGGTTGACAGCTATGCGGTGAGGAGCAAAGCCGATATTAACCTTGTGTTGTGTGTTCCATTTCCACCCGCAGATGGTGCTATAATTAAACATGGGGCATTCTTCTTCACATTGGGGACAAGAGGACTGCACTGTTTACTTACATTTTACAGTGCGTTCCCTAATAAACAAGTACCATAAACGAACTGTCTCCCGGATGGGTAAACTATCACACAAATGGTTTGGATGATACCCCGAACACGTCGTTAAGCTCTCTTTTATGTTTTTTTTTGTCACTCACGTAACAGGAAGAACGAACACACCGATTGCGTACATTGCGTGAACAGGGCTGAATTATTTCACTGTAATTTTTGGCGTCAAATGTAGGCACGCGATATGATTTTTTGGGCTTGCCTATCTTTTCTAATGGTTCTATTTTAACCATGGTGAGCGAAACCACGCCCCAAGAAGTAAGAGACGCATCACAGTCTACTCTATTTAAGATATTCAAGGTACATTTGACACGATAAAATGTGCGTGAGATACGTTTTTTTCGGCGTAGTCGTAAGGTAGCTTATTTGACTAAAGCGAGATAAGATAAATGGTCCGTCATTGATGGTAGTAAATTTGCAACGTCGTAATTCGCTAACCACTGTTGCTCGGGGGCCGTTGACTGATTTCTTACGAGTATTAAGAAATTATGTAAACAAGGACTGCTCTAAATGTTGATCTCAATGCCATGTTTTTATATAGTAAACTTATGAAACAAAAACTACGTTGAACGAAATAAGATTTGAAGAATAGAAGCTTTCTACAATTTTCACTTATTAGTCTAGTGATTCAACACTAAATTAATGTACCTATAGTGTAATTTTTTTAATTGAATTACGAAGGGATTATCAGGCTAGCGAAAATATCGAATTACGTTAGATTTCCAACGATTTATTAAAAGCTAACTGAGTGACATCGTACATATACATTGCTCAGTTTACATCTATTTTTGTATCAAGATAGCGTAAGGCAATTGAAAATCATTGTAACTGTTTACTGTTTACTAGAAACTGCCTAAATTGAAATCGTTAAAAGCTATCTTACCGAGACATCGTCAACATGCGGTGAAATTATTACCACCACCATTGCGCAGGTAGCGGAAGCAAAACTGGTTTCATCGAGAAAATTAACCCAATTGTTCCTATGACGGCAGGATGATAGACGCTTTTAAAGAAGCGGTGAAATGTACAAGTTTTAAAATTTGAGCAGTCGCAAAAATAAATGGACACACCTCTTGTGCTATGTCACTCCGTTTGACACCAATCAGACTACTTCTTATCAGTGTGGTTTTTTTTACAGTTTGAGCTATAGTATATTTATAGTTTTACATCACAAGGAAAAAAAAGTTCTAGAAATCTATTTTAAGACTTCAGGAAACATTTCGTCCGAAAAAAATGAGAGCAAGGTAATGTTTGTTAAGTCTTCGTTCAAGGACGGAAGCTGATTAGTATATCTATTTAGAAGTGGTGCTTTCCGGACAAATTTCAAATTTACTTGGGATTGTTTGTCAACAAATAGCTGCCAAGTTACTTCGAGCTGATTTTCTCAATGAACACTCGATCTTGTCAACAAATCGAACATCGCCAAATCGACGATCAAATGCATTGTTTACAAAAACTGACACGTCCCTTTGAAAAAGTAATCGAGATTTCTATGAATAAAGCTTAATTCTCGATTAATTTTCCGAAGGGACGTATCAGCTTTTGTAAACAATACATTTGATCGTCGATTTGGATTAGCTGGTAGCTCGCCCACGTATACTAACACCACTATCAGGTAGTGGAGAATGACCTCTATCTGATGGTAGTGTTAGCATGCGTATTACCAGTTATACCAAATCGACGAACAAATGCATTGTTTACAAAAGCTGATACGTCCCTTTGAAAAAGTAACCGAGAATTGCTCAATGCTTGCATCAGCTGTCTTAGATTGAAAGATATTCGAACCAAAGAGCCAAAAACTTTGGCTTCAAGCAAAATGTTTGAGGATATCGTTTCTGCCACCGGAGTGGATTTTGAATGACAAAATGTACGGGAACAGACCTATTCAACGTTTTTTAAGTGGAGAACATGTTCACAATGTAAACAAAATACACCGGTTGCAATTTACAAGCAAACATGCATGTACTGATTCGTTCCAGTTTAAATGTACACATTTGATATTCGATGTCTTCACAACCATAGCAACCAATCGATGTGTTTATGTAAAAAAAGCAGGTGAGTTTTTAAATCTAACCTGCACTTTCTTTATTTTTGCAATACCGTAGACCCCGGTAATCTGACCGTTCTTAATCTGAATTTGTTTGAATTGTTCAAACGTCATCTGGCATATGACAGAATCAAAACACAACAACAAATAGGGCTACCAGAAACTCGCTTTTCTGTTGGTTATTTATGTTGCAATAACAAAAATTTGACAGCTCTCGTCTTCCGCTGGCTACAGTGTGTATTGGCACCATAAGACTAGAAAACGGACAACACACAACACCAAAAAGGCAGTAGGGAAATTTTTCTTTTACAAAAAATTCCACCGGCTGGGAGCGGGAATCGAATCCTCATTTTGTGGCACACACACACAATACGTCTGAACGAAGGGTGACGCCGCTCATCGCACGACCACGAAGCCACCTCAGGTTTCAGGCTTGCACTGACTGGCTCCAACTCCGATTGAAAAAAAAATCGCTATAATAGCCCGAAAAAAAATAACAACAAAAATACAATAAAAAACAATGTAACAATAAGACCAAAAATTATTGTCTTAACAATGATTTATATTGTTACGTCTACAATAAATTTACCTTGATTTATGTTGTACAAAACAGTAAATTTCATGGTAAATGGAAAATTTACAATAAAAAAGGGGGGTTGTTAAGTATCTTAACAATGAAATTTTCGTGATTTCCCCATATAATTTTTTTTCAATAACATTATATATTATTGTTATTTTACTGTTGGTTGGCGAATTTATTGATTAAAAAAAATAACAGTGTACTTTAGAGTGTATATGTTGGCTTGACAGATCTACTTTATCGACTTTAAAAATTAATCGAAAAAATAAAACATCGCTCCGGGGAGGGAAGGGGGTGGTAATGTCTGTTACGGGTGAGTCCTTTTTTTACTGGTTATGGATTGAGATTCGATCCGAAACTTGTGAGAAATGGAAGCCAACTCCCCTGCACTTTCCCAGGGTAATGGGGATGAAAAAACAAAACCGAAGGCTCCTGTTGATCCAATCCCTGGATGCAGCAAGAATTTTCCGCCATTGCCCAACAAAGATAAAAAAAATAAAAAAGCTGCTCCTCAAACTTCTCAAAAGAAATCCAAGTCCGAACGAGGTTTGCTAGCTTTTTCGGACATTGTGGAATTCATATTAAACATGTTCAACATACAAGACCCTCTAAGAAGCTTAGTTTCTGCCTTGCTTCCAACATTAGAATCATATCTTAAGCAATTGACTGTTTCATGGCCCCTCCTTGCATCAATCATATCTTTCGATGGATAATTCGTCGAACGAGGTTGAAGATATGATCACTGTGCTACAGTGGAACTGCCGTAGTCTAGTGCCTAAACTAGACTCGTTCAAATTTTTACTTCACAATTCTGATTGTGATATATTTGCTCTCTGTGAAACATGGCTTTCTTCCGATAAAGAACTCAACTTCCACGATTTTAACATTATTCGCCTGGATAGAGACGATTCTTATGGAGGAGTACTTTTAGGGATCAAAAAGTGCTACCCTTTCTACAAAATTTCCCTTCCTGCTCTATCAGGCGCCGAAATCGTCGCTTGCCAAATAAATGTGAAGAACAAAGATCTTTGCATAGCTTCAGTATACGTTCCACCAAGAACCTCCATTAGCCGTAGTCAACTCTGGAATCTAGTTTCGATTCTTCCATCCCCAGTATTAATTCTGGGTGATATGAACTCCCATGGTACTGGGTGGGGCGATCTATATGACGACAATAGAGCGGCTATTTTTTACGATTTATGTGACGATTTCAATTTGACTATTTTGAACACTGGTGAAGCGACACGTATAGCAAAACCTC